CACACACACACACACACACACACACACACACACACACATGGTGGGGCCTTTCACACTTTCATTCATTCAGCAAGTATCAAATGTTCACAGCTCATCAGGCCTTGGCTTGGGGAACCCAGCACTGAATAAGACTGAAGTCTCAAACCCTCCCAAGTGGAGCTTACAGCAGGGCTGGGAGCGGGGAGTGTATGGGGCAGAGGAGTACCTGATGTGCCCATGAACTCAGAGGGGGATTCAGTCTCAGGCCAAGTTATGGCCCGGGTCAGAGAGCACCACGGATGGTTTTCATGTCTGTGGTGCTCCTCACACCACAGGAAAGAAGGGACCCTCAAATGTCCAAGCCCCCAGAGAAAGTTGTGGATAAAGTGGGCTGAAGTCAGAAATTGAAGAAATTTCCTGCCCTGGTAGGAGGCAATGGGGGGGGCTTGTGTCCCCTTCCACACCTGCAGATTTGACATTGACACAGACTCTAGCATTTGAGGGGAGACAGCTCAGTTCCACAGATGAACAAGGCCTCTTTCTTTCTTTCACTTCATTTCCAGCCTCAGTCACCCACCTCCCAGACAAGCAACCCACTGGGTGAAATATGCCAGACATTAGAACCATGTGGAGACCGAGCCCCAAAGGCAGAATGAACACACAGCCAGTTCATCCTGTGTAATTAAGGTGAATTCACTCACTCACTCAGCTTTCATTTACTGAGTCCCTACCAGGGATGCTGAGCAAAAGACAGTCTGTGAGTTCCAAGGAGGAAGACAAGTAAATATATAATGAATTTGACTGTGATAAATGCTACAGAGAAGTAACATCTTGCCCAGAAGCACTGACTCGGAAAGGCTTCCTGAGGTCTGTGTTGAGTCACAAGGAAGGCCATGAGTTACCAATGGTAGGTTCAGGCAGTGGTGGGGTCAGGGAGGAAAAGACAACCCAGACAGGGAGAAGCTTGTGCAAAGCAACGCAGATAGCAGACGGCAGGCTACTCCAGTGACTAGAGGCAGATTTCAGCAAGAATGGAGTTGGTTTGCAGATCAGATAAAAACTCTGGGAGAGTTCCTTTTTCTCCACAACCTCTCCAATACTTGTTATTCTTTATCTTGTTGATAATGGAGGTTCTTCAAAAAATTAAGAATAGAATTACCATATGATCCAGCAAGCCCTCTTCTGGGTATCTACCCAAAAAATTTGAAAACATTTATTCATAAAGATATATGTACCCCTATGTTCATTACAGCATTGTTCATGGTGGCCAAGACATGGAAACAACCAAAATGTCCTTTGATAGATGATTGAATAAAGAAGATGTGGTACATATATACAATGGAATATTGCTCGGCCATAAGAAATGATGAAATACTGCCATTTGCGACAACATGGATGGATCTTGAGATTATTATGCCAAGCAAAGTAAGTCAAATGGGAAAAGTCGAGAACCATATGACTTCATTCGTATGTGGGATATAAAACTGAAAGCAACAAATGAACAAGACAAATAAACAAACAAAAATTCACAGGCAACTGTATGGGGGGTTGGGGGAGGTAGAAAAGGGTAAAGGGGGTCAAATACACGGTGACAGAAGGAGATTTGACTCTGGGTGGTGAACACACAATGCAATATACAGATGATGTATTATGGAATTGTACACTTGAAACCTATATAATTTTATTAACCAATGTTACTGCAATAAATATAATAAAATTTTTTAAAAGGACATTGGGAGAGTATAGAGGAGCGTTAGATTGAAAACAGCTGGTGGAGTTTCTGGAGGGGAGAATTTAAGATGGAAGATACTTAAACTTGGGTAAGAGCTGAGGAAAGAATAAGTAATGAGAAAGGTTGTCAGTGTGGCAGTAGAAGCAGATAATTGGTAGATAGATGTCCTGAAAAGTTAGGAATAAGAGACCAACCGATATACAAGACTTTCCTAAATCCAGGTGAACCCTGCTCTACATAAGAGATGTGATCCCTTATGTTGTGATCAGATTAAATAATGTATAAGTGCTCCTCTAGTCTTAATAGTTCTTGGTTCCTCTAATCAAGGTTTTAATGGAGGAAGTCCCCTTGACACCTACTAGGATCCTATGATAACTTTGAAAAATAAAGAATGCTTTGCTAATGTAAATAAGTTATTCATCGATGTGTCTGTTTCATACTGTTTTATTTTCTAAAGAAAAGGAAGGGGCCGTGGCCTTCCTCAGCCCTTCTAAACCAACGGACATGAGCCAGTCCATGTTGAGGATGGACCCCTTTAGCCCCAGAAAGATCATTCTGGCAACTTTGTGAGTGGTGCGTGGGAAGTGGAAGTGACTGGGGTAGGGTGCCGGTTGGAAGGATGACTATCTTTGTAGCAGTCCAGGGGAAAACTAAAGTGGGTCTAATTCCAGAAAAATGATGGCGAGCATGGAAAGGGAAGAAACAGTGCTTCAGCCATTCTAACATGGACTCAGCTTCCTCCCCTCCAACATTCTCTTTTGTCTGTGCCTGAATACACACATGCACTGTGTGCTCCCATGAAGGTACGTGTCTCCAATGACTGGCTAGCTATTGACCACAGCCACCTCCTCGTCCTCCTAGGCACAGAGCTAAATTAATTCCCAGCCTCCCTTGAAGTTAGGCGTGGCCATACGGCTGAATGGAACGTGAGTAGACGTGTGATAAATGTCATTTATAGGCTTGGCTCATAAAAACCGGCCACTGCTCTGTGATCTCTCCCCTTCCACAGAAACCAAGGGAGCCATGTGTTGAAGACGGCAGAACCACAAGTTGGAAAGAGCCTGAGCCCCTGCATCACTACCTGGAGGAAATCCACCCTGCTGATCAGGAATACCTGTCTGGGACTTTACTGAGCAGGAAATAAACTTCCATTGTATTATGCCACTAAGATTTTAGGGTGCTACCTTCCATAATACATTCTCATTTACTCTTGGCTTTTACCCATGGGTTCTCAAAGTAGCCAGAATGGGAGGGGTCAACACCCTTTCCAACCCCAACAATATCCTGAGCCTTAGGACACTAACCTGGCTCTGGGTGACTAGGAACCTGCTTCCCTTTCTGGGGAGTCTTTGTGGGGCCTTGAGGAGTTGCTCAAGGATGGTATCAGACACACTTTATATGCCAGAGCCCTAGTTTCCCAGATCTACTTAGAGCTCACACATCACAAACTCATCTGTAGTTGGTGAAGAGTAGGATTTAAGGCAAGGCAGGGCTCCTGGCTCTCTCCATGCTGGCTGGCTCAGTTGTGGAGTACAGAAAGCCCTGATGGGAAGATGGCCTGCTGACCTAGGAGCAGAAATCCTGGTGCTAGTCCTGGCCACATGAAAAGCCTTCCCTTCTCCAGGCCTCCATTTCTTCAACTAGAAACTGAGAGGTTGCAACTAGGTCATTGCAAAAGCCCCTTCCAACTTTGACACTTAGAGGCCTTATCAGAGATATGAATGCAAATGCTTACAGGGACTAAACATGTAAGGGGCCAGGTGGGGACTGTAGCTAATTAAAGAGCTCATGCCTTGTCTCAAGAAAACACCTGTTGGGGGAGGGGGGTTGTCACTTCAAGGGGTAAAAAGTATAACTATTCCACTGTGTTGTACAGCTGAAACTAATTCTAAAAAATGTGTATTTCATAATAAAAAATAATTTAATAAAATTTTTTTTAAAACAATTACATATAGTGTAGGGTAGTATGAAAAGTAGTAGATAATAACAATAGAGGTACATTCTTAATGTTCTATTCTTCAGCCAAATTATTCTCATTAAAAGCTCATATAAAAAATTAAAATGACCTATATCATGCTATATTTTGTTTGCTATATTTCATACATTCTTCTTAATATATAACCCATTGTTCTAATCTGAACCAACCGACTTCTAGATTCACTGAAAATTATTCTGAAACTTTCTATCACTTGTCTCCTTGGAGAGGACCATTATTGTTTGGGTCGCTATATATTTCTGTTTTGCTCACCGCCCCCCCCCCACCCTTGTTTTGCTGAAATATATTCTCAAACTATTTCTTCAGAAATTATATAAAGAAAATTTACTTGGAAAAAAAAAAAGAAAGAAAACACCTGATCATTGCCATGTGAGAATATGTGCCCAGGTTGTGAATCTGATTTTTAAAGAAAGGACGTAAATCCAGATTTTCTTAATATCAAATATCCTGATTTTTCAATGTTTCCAATAATTTTTTCTATATTTATAAGTACTAAGCAGATCAAATAAGGCACACCTGTGAGCCAAGTTCATGCCTAGAGCTGCCAGTGTAAGATTTCTGAAGGATTCCCATTGCTGGGGCCCTCGGACCAGAGCTAGGGCCAGGCTCCCAGCCGTTTGCCAGCTTCCTAACTTTCAGGGAGCTGGCAGGGTTTTCAGCCAGGATCCGTGATACTCTGAAATCACGGTCCCAGAACATGCACACACCTTTCTGAAAGGTCACAGCTTCTGTGTCTTCCCTGGGCAGTTCTCCCTGGGCACTGACTCAGACACCCGGGCTTCTTATCTACTGCTCATCTTCCTCAACACTCCCCTATCTCCCATCACCATCCCCCGCCTGCTGGCAGCTAAGTGAGGACAGGACCAACAGTCATTTCACAAGGAAGAAAGAGAAAATCAATGGCGAGATCTGCTGGCACCTACTTTCAAACTGCAGTGTAATAGGGAGAAGGAGGCTGCCTGGAGGGTGGGTACTCCAGGTCACACATTTACGGCCTATACGCCTGACAGAGCCAACCTGGCAGAGGTGGAGCAGGGGGGGAGCAGGCAGATGAGCACTCCCAGGCTTGGTAAGCCTTAGACACACAGGAGGCCTCCTCTGGCCCACAGCTCCATACTCATTAAAAACAGCGAATTCTGGAGGATGCATTTGAGACTCAACTCGGGAGTCAGAAGACTCAGCTGATGAGCCAACACCATGCTCCCTGGCTGGGCTGTGGAGGATGAGTGAGGACCATGAGTCACAGGCAACCAAGTCAAGCCTCAGGATGGAAACCTGGGCACAAGGCCTCCCTGCTTCTCAGCCTAAGGCACAGCCCAAGCCAAATCCATTGTCTGCTGGTTAATTCCATGCCTCAGTGATCAAACCTCTAAATGCCCTGCTTGGATAATGCTACTTGTGTGCATTTTTAAATCTCTTAGGGGCCAAACTTCACCACTTGGAGAAGCCCCTCCCAGGCAGGCATTTCCTAGCTGTCCTTGGCCATCTGGGCAGACCCTTCTCCCAGTGACACACATTTGCAGAGGTTTGTCACTCAGGAAATGGGCTCATTACAGTTTTCCAAATGAGGTCAGTGGATCACTCAGGAGACTTCATCCCTCCTCTGAGTTCCTTACACACACCCCTCCCCTAATGCTAACTCCTAAACAGAAATTAGGAAGCAGAAAGGATCGAGTTTCCATGCCTTCCACCCAGGGATCCAGGAATATCTGATCTTTCTCAGTTCTCTCTCTTTCTTTTTTGTTCTCCCTCACTGTCTCTCTCCCTCCCGCCCTCCCCCTGTCTCCCTATCCTCCTCTCAGAACACCGTCTGCTGGAGCTGAGGATTTCCCAATCCTAATCCTACCGGGATGGCCACAGGAGCTTAGCATGAGGTTTTCCTTCTCCCAACAGGTTTTTCCTGGTAATCTTAACTCATTCCTAACATTAAAAACAGCCTGGGGAGAATGACTCACTCTGCAGCCCAGATAATGTGCACATCCTGTGCCTTGGCAGAGCTAAGGCTTCCTCTCTCAGTGCTGCCATTCGAGTCCACCCAAGGCCAAACTGGGAAATGGGCAATGTTTGCTCTCGGCTCTCCATCCCTTCTGGGCATTCCTCTGTCCCTCTGCCCTCAAGCTGACCCAGCCAGGCCAGTCAGGAGGCCTGAGTCCCCACACTCCAGCCCTTCCTGAACTCCTTTGCACCCCTTCCCCATCAAAGCTTCATGTCAAGACCCCTAGTGCTCGCCTTTCTATGGGGCAATACAATTAGCTAATTGATACCCCTGGATGCAGCAGAAAAGCCACTGGCCAGAGAGGCAGAAGACAAGTTCTAGTACTGGCCTTGCCACTTTTTAGCCATATTTTCTTGGATAAGTCTCAGCACTCCAGTTGCATCATCTGTAAAATGAGATAATGATGCATTCCTTGGCTCCACAGGGCTCAGGCCAACTTCCGAGCCTCAGTTGTCTCTGTTAATTGAGGATAATAACACCATCCTTGCCCACTTCACAGGGTTGCTCTAAGGCTCAAAGGAAATCATGCATGTGATATTGCTTTGTACACAGGAAAGTGCTAGATTCACAAAAGTGTTATGAGTAGAGCCTCTCCCGGGGAGTGTCACACATGCAGCCTCCTGGAAACACTGCCTTCACCTAGAGATGTGAGCCTGCTGGCTGGAACCTGGGAACCATAGCAGACCTGAGAGGGAGATATGCTGGGGTAGGTGGGCCTCTTGGAATCTGTCAGATCACATCACAATGTGGCCACCTTCTCTGCCCACACCACTAGCCCAACTGTGCCCATTGGCTGAAGTGTCCCCTTCCTGCCCAACACCAGCAGCCTCTGCTGCAGTCTGACAGCCCTATCTGGAAGGTGACCAGCTCCTTGGCCATTTTTCTTTTGTTCTTCCTGCTCTTCCCAGTGTCTTTGACACTTTCTGAGCACTCTGCATCCCTCCGTCCTAGAAACCAAGCTGCATGAATTTGCTCAGAGCTTGTCCCCTCACAGGGTACTGGGGGCAATCTCTCCTAGCTAGCCCTGTGCCTTGTCAGAAAGCTGCGTGATGCCAAGCAACTGCACCTCGTCCTGTGTGGTAACAACAGCAGAAAAACAACAATAACATTTAGTATTGATGACACGCTGCTCACCAGGATGCCCAGAGGCACTGCCTGGAATCATTCACAAACCTCTGCTGCCCACATGGCTTGTGTTCCAGCTGGGCTGGAAATGGGGAAACGCCGCAAATGAAATCAACATTGGAACCAAAAGACACTGGTGTCCTGGGTCCCACTCCACAAATTCAAAGAAACTTTCAGCTCTACTGTTGACATGGCTATGTGAGTATCAAACAGATCTTCCCCTCCTCCATGTGTTAGCTTTACCACTTATTAAATAGGAACGTAAAGAACTCTGTTTCCCTCATTTCATGAGGGAGTAGAGGAGGTAATTCCTGATCTCTTAAGCATTGTACATAGATTCTGCCTTCAGCCAACAGGTCCCTTGGTTCAGCTTTCAAGTCCCTTGAAGGCGACACACCTAAAGGCACACCCTGAAAAAGGAAGCTCCTCCTATCAAACACAGGAGAAATGTGAACACCCTGGTATAGGAAACTCGAATGGGCTGAATAAGCAAGAAAGGGTGATATGCAAACGCGGGGCTTGGTGCAGGCAGCTCATTACAACCAATCATTTGGGTTTTGGGCCTGAGGGTTCCTTGTCCTCCCCTCGCCCCCACAAGGAAATGCTGAAGTGGTGGTAGGTCTGTCATCCGTTAGCCAGGTTTCTGGGCTCAGAAGCTGGATAGCTTACACCGCATAGCAACAGCAGCCAGCCGCATTCCCTCTCCTAAAACAGGCGCAGGCTCATCTCCGACCCTCTAGGGATGAGGTTTCAGAATTTGCAGTCCAGGGGAAAGGGAAACCTCAGCTGAGGCCCTGGAGCAACCCTGGCATTAGTGCCAACAAGTGGCACAGACAGCTTCAGGACTTAGGGGAGATTGACACGCCAGGGATGAGATGAGCTCTTACGAGGAGCCACTCTCTTCCACCCTGCCACTCTGACTTCCACCCCTTCCCTCCGGACCCGACCTGGGAAACCACCTCATCCCACCCTGCCCCACCCTCCTCACCCCCACCCCGTATTCCTTTCCCGCCCAGTACGCCCCTAGCGGGGATATGTTCCCTCAGCAGTCGGGCACTGCCTGAGGGACCGGGTGCTGGCCCCCTACCTCGGTGGCCATATTCCGGGGGCGCTGAGCGCTCCGAGCCTGCTGAGGGGCCAGTCGATGGGGGTCTGTCCGCGGCGCTGACTCAGGGAGTAGGTGGGCTGCCGGCGACGAGATGGGGCCCGGGCGCTGTCCGCGGTGCTGATGCGGACGCCGCGGGCCTGGGCGCGGGTGGGCAGGTGGGTCCTCCGCGCCTAGGTCCTGTGGGGCAGGCGCTGTGCTGTCCGCGGTGCTGATGCGGTCGAAGCGAGGCCGCGCCCGAGGCTCTTCACCGCGGGATCGCCGGCTGCCGCGGCTCCTGCAACGGCCGAGTTTATCTTTGACAGAGGCGGCAGGGGTGGGGGCGGCGGGGGTAGGAGGGGCCAGTCGCCTCCGCGGACCGGGAGGGGGAAGCGGCGGCCCCCAGACTCCGGCGCCCGCCCGCCGGAGAGGAGCCCCTCACGCGGCCGGAGGCTCCGCTCCAGCCCCGCCTGGAGGCCCCGCCTCTCCTGCCTGCCCTTCCCCCTAGTTAGAGCGCCTGGAGCTCTGCTCTCACTACAGCGGCCTCCAGAGACTGACAGACAACGAGAAGAGAGAGGCAGGATGGTTCTGGAGCAAGACACTCCAGCCTGCAGAGGCTGAGGGTCCTCAACTCGCTCACAGGCCTCCAGGTGCAGCCTCATTACCTGTCCTACACCCCTCCCCCACTGTGGCCCAGGCTGGCTCTTGCATGGACGCTCCCTCTTCTACCTCTCTCCTTTTCACTGCCTTGAAACCTATTAAGCTGGAGGACGATGCTGCACACCGCAGAGAAGCGTGTCTGTTCTTTAAATACGCCGGCATTTCATCCCCAGGAACGCCTAAGGTCCCTTCTTTCAGGAAGTCCCAGAATTGCAGCCAATCTCTTCTTGCTGCCCTTCCTGGCCCTGGCCCCACCCCACCCTCACCCCTCCTCTTTCCTCTCTCCTCTGAAATCCCAGAGTTACACACACACACACACACCACCACCACCACCACCACTCAAAAACCACAAGCAGATGGTGCCAAACTGGTATGCCCACTCTCTAAGGATGACAGGTCTGGCCCTGGTGCTGCCTTCACATTTTCCACATCACGCCTTCTAACCAGACTACTTATCTATTTGCTTAGTAAACAAAAAGGAAACATCAACACAGGTGCCTTTTTACACACCCATAATATCCCTTGGTCTCTTTGAGGGGAAGCTAGGTGTCCTCCTCAGCTGCTCACTGCTGCCTGAGGGTCAACAACAGCAACCTACACAAAGGGAGAGTGGGCAGCCAGGAAACCTGGGCTCTGACTCAGACTTTGCCAGCTTTGTGACCTGAGGCAAATGCTTCCCATCTGAGCTCCTTTCTGTAAAGTGAGTGTTGGATTTCACTAGACAATTTCTAGCACCCTTTCTTCATTTTTTTTCCCTTCAATCTTTTGTTTTGAAATTTTTAAACATATATAAAACTTGAAAGAATAATACAACTATACTGTCCACCTAGCTTCCACAGTTGTTAACATTTTGCCATATTTGCTTGATAGATAAATATAGAAACATAAAGATAGATTTGGCTAAATTACTAGAAAGTAAGTGATAGATATTGTGAGACTTTACTCTTAAGTACCTCACCACGTATCTTCTAAAAATAAGGACATTCTCCTCCTACCTAATCACAATATTATTACTACACCTTTACGGATTTCAGATCATCTAATATTCTAGGATAGGTTATTGCCCCTAAAACTCATTAATAGCAATGACCCCTCAGAACTTGCCCCCAGAACCTTTCATTTTTTTTTATTTTTTTTTTTATTTTTTTTTTTTTAGCTGAGCCATCCCGCCACCTGTTGGCAGCTCACGGCTGCTCAGCTCGGGCTGACTCGAACCGCTGTTGCTCAGAGCTCAAACTCTTGAGCGAGCTCTTAACCAACTGAGCCACTCAGCCGGCCCAGAACCTTTCATTTTTAATAGCTAACATTTATTGAGAACTTACTATGTGCCAAACCATAGGTTATGTACTTTTACTATTCCCACTTTGCAAAGGAGGAAACTGAGTAAGTTGCCCAGGGTCATGTGGCTTGTGAAGAAGAATGAGAGCAGGATTCAAATACTGACAGTCAAAACCCAGGGCCTGTGTGGTTGATCTTCCTGACTGTACTGCCTCCCTCCAGCATCTTGTAAACCATAAACTAGCAGAGCAGTAACCACATCTCCAGGTGCCTATACACAGATGAACACACTGAGTCCCTGAGGATGAATGACATGCCAAAGTAGTTAAAGGCAGATGTTTTGTTCCACCTCAGAGTTTGACAAATGATTTGCATCGAGGAGCAAACTGAAAATAACTGTGAATCCCATGGTGGTCACTGGTAATAAATAAATTCATAATCTAATGATCTCTATGTACACCTCTCCCAGCTCCTCACACTTGATTTTGATCATATTAATTAGACAACCATCTGGAAACCACTCTCTTCACCTGATGACAAGAGACCTGGGTAAGTTCATTTAACAAACCCATTCATTCAACATATATTTGTTGAACAAGTACTATGTATCAGGCACTCTTCTAGGAGCTTGGGATACAGCGATGACTAAATGCATGAAGATTCCATTCTTATTGAATTTACATACAGAGGGTGCCAAAAAAATGTATACACATTTTAAGAAAGGAAAAAACTATTAAAGTTATGCTGATGGTAACCACTTTGAGCACCTCTTGTAACTGCAGAAGTCAAACATGACTTGTATTCATCTTTCGTTATCAGTATATATTGAGTATTAAAATTTTAATGCAGTTTTTTTCTTTCTTAAAATGTGTATACTTTTTTTGGCACCCTCTGTATAAAATGGGGGTAACAGTCAATAACAGATTAGCAAGTAATATAGAATATGTCAAAGTATGATCATTGCTAGGATGAAAAATAAAGTACGGTAATGAGAGAGAGAGAGAGAGAGAGAGAGAGAGAGAGAGAGGGAGAGAGTGTGTGTGTGTGTGTGTGTGTGTGTGTGTGTGTGTGATGGTATTTTAGAAAGAAGAGTCAGGGAAAGCCTTTCTGATAAGGTGAAATTTGAACAGAGGCCTGAAGGGAGTGAGAGAACTTAAAACAAGGATACCAGAAGGAAGAGTGACAAGGATTAGAGGACAGAGGACAGGGGCCCTGAGGCAGGAGTGGGTTTAGCAGGTTCAAAGAATAGCAGGGAGACCAGTAGTTAGACTGGAGTGGGCGAGGGGAAGAGGGATGGGAGCTGAGATCACAGAGATAGCAGAAGCCAGGTCTTAAAGTGCTTGCAGGCCCTAATAAGGACTTTGGATTCCATTCAGCAAGTGAGATGACAAGCCTTAGAAGGTTTAAAGTAGAGGCGTGGCATTATCTAATTGCAGTTTCTTAAAGATTATTCTGGATGCTACCGTTGGAGGAGGCAGGGATAGAAGCAGTGAGACAGATAAAGAGGTTGTTAGACTAGTCCAGGCAAGATATGGTGGTGGCTTAGGCTAGTAGTAGAGGTGATAAGAAATGGCCAGACTCTAGATATAACTTGAAGGTAATGATGACAGGATCTATGAGTAGATTGGGGGTGAGGTATGAAATAGAATCGAAGATGATTCCAAGTTGTAAAAACTGAGCCACTGGAAGATGAAGTTGCCATTTACTGAGCAGGGAAGATAAGAGATGAGTAGGCATGAAGAATACAGAGTTTTGGATGTGTTTAGTTGATTTAGGTTTGAAGTTTGATATACATGTTATACATCTAAGTAGAGCAGGTAGTCGGGATTCAGGGGAGAGGTAGAGGATTGGAAATATAACATCAGGAGACATCAGTATGCGAATGATGTTTAAAGCCATGGGACTCAATGAGATCATCTAGGGAGTGGGTATAACTAGAAAAATTGTCCGAGAGCTGATCCCGGGCACTTTGTTACTTGCAGGTTAGGAAGACAAAAGGAGACCCTGAGGAGTGACCAGTGAAGTAGGAGACGCGCGAGAGAGAGTGGTGTCCTGGAGCCAAGCAAGAAACCCGGTAACAGAGCCTTACCAGCTGTGCTGAGTGCTGCTCACATGTAGAATAAGATGAGGATAAGATGAGAATAAGAGAAATGACCATTGAACTTGGCATTATCAACAAAAGAACATCCAGCCTAAGAAAAAGTCTTATAAGAATTTGAGCCAAACTAATGACAATTGCTGGGAAGCAAAAGCTCAACAGATTGAGAAAATGCTCTGGAGAATGGCAGTTTTGCAGCTTATTTCATACATTAGAATCAAAGGAGGAGATGTAAGGAGGGTTGCATGAGATCCATTGGTGGTAGATTAGGGAGGTGGGAGAAAGCAAAGCAGGGAAATCTTTGTGATTGGATAAAAAAGCAAAATGGAGACACATACTTCCTTTACATTGGTGGGTACAGGATAGTTAAAATTTATAGCACATAGAACTGGTATGTAGGCAACAGGATAATGTGGTCTCAGTAGTTGTGCCTTTGAGGGGTCTGGAAAAAAATTACTCTGACATTTCAAAGGTATGTTATCTTAGATGCACAAAGACATCTAAGGAAGCTGCAGGCCTAGGACATGACTATCCACCATGACCCGTTTTCAGGGATTTTTTTTTTTTTACGTTCACACCATCCTATGTAATTACTTTCAGTCTCTGGGTTTATAAGGCCTGCCATGTGGGCCTCCCCTGAGCTTGTCAGATTTAGTATGTGGCCCCTTTTTCATCCATAGCAGCAACAAGGTCATTGGTGACCCTGAGAGGAGCTGTTTTAGTGGAGTGTGGGGATGAGATCTTGATTACAGTGGGTTTGAGTTAGAATGGAGGAGAGGAGGCAGAGATACTGAGAGTGGAGACAACTCTTTAGAGGCATTTTGCTGTAAAGGGGGAGAAAAGAGTAGCATGGCAGCTTGAGAGAAAAGTAGGAGCAAGCGGGGATCTTTTAAGATGGGAGACATCAGACTTTGTGTGCTGAAAGGAATAACCAAGTACGGAGGGAAACATTGATGGCTCAGAAAAGAGAGGGTTAATTGCAGAAGCAAGCCCTCAATTCGTCAGCAGAGGATGGGATCTAGGGCCAACATGAAGGGGGTGGCTTTGGAGAGGAGCACAGAGAATTTTCCACCATAGACACCATGGAAGAAGCAGAGAAAATGGCCACAGATGTAAGTTAGGATATTTTGTAGTATAAGCCAAGCCCTGAGCTCTACTCCTTAGTCCACTTCAACTAGCCAGAGATTTCATGCAGCATGATGTTTCTTTACAAGTTCATTCAACCACTATGTACGGAGAGCTTGCTATGGCCAAACATGGTGCTGGCACTTTCCTGTGTAGCCCAAAGAGAGTTCTCCTGCCCAGTGAAATTATAAGACTAGGACTCTAGAGGGAAACTTGAGAACATCCACGTAAGGATGAATGATCCCTTTTAATATCCAGCTCCTCTGACTGGAAAGAGACTTTAACAGCCTCAGTCTTTTTATTGCTATGTTGCCTCCAGGGTTATTAAAACAATCTCAACAGACCTCAAGGCTTGAAGGCATCAAAGTGGAAGCCATGGAGAAAGATTCACATTCAAGAGGGGAGAGTTTCATATTGTGCTGACTCAAGGCTGTGATGGGATGCTACAGGTTGGAATGTTCCCACACTCCAGCCACTGGGACTTTAACTCTTGAGGCAGGAGGAGACATTGAGATTTAATCTAACTAATCATTATTACCCACCTGCCTTGGGACCAACCAGTCCTCTGTAAGAGCCTAGCTCTTTGATGTTTTTGTCATAAATTAATGAGTTCGCCCACAAAATAACATCAAAGAAGATCCACTAACAAATTCACCATTATCATCCTCCAATCTACGCCTGCACTGGAAAGTCTGCCCTCCCCCCACCCCACCCCCAAAAAAGACCACAGAAAAAGAAACCAACTGAAAGATTTCGAAATCATGATACCTGGAAAGATATGAGAGAAAAATGAACTACAAACTGCAGAGGAAAGGGCTAGCAAATATCAAAGAAATGAAGAAAAAGCAGGGGAGACAGGGACATTCTCAGCACTTGGGTCTAGAAGGGAAACAATTGCATGAATGCTTGAGGGGGAAATTGTGGTCTGGAAAGTTAAATGGTGTCATCTCAGAGCATACTGCGGGACTAGGAGGAAGTGTGTGGTAGGAAACAGTGTCCCTGGAGTCAGATGACATAGGTTTCAACCTCTTGCTCTGCTGTTTACTATGGGATCATCGGCAAGTTTCAGTCTCTCTGAGCCTCAGTTCTCTGATCTATAAAATGGTGGCAATAATTCTCCATCCCCAAATAGGATCCCTCCAAGCATGGGAAGCTTTCTCTCAAGGTTACCTGACTCTTCCAAATCTAGTTTTTCAAGAAGAAAACAGGAAAAGACTTACAGAGATGCCTTGCTGGAGATCTTCAAACAGTGAAATTTCTTCCAGGTCCAGCAAGATTTCCTAAAGCACAGAAAAGATCAGTAAACATGCTTCCTTTAAATCAGTGAGCAGTTATTGAACGCCTACTGTATGCCAGACAGCAAGATGACCATGGGATAGTTCCAACCCCCCAAGAACACCAAAATACAATCAAGTGATGATCAGGCTCTGATAAGTGCCAAGGTGAAGGTAGTTGCCTCAGAGTTGGGGTCCAGAAAAGGTTTTACAACTACCTGACATTTGAGCTTGGACTTCAAGTACTAGTGTCATATCCCCAGACAGCAGATAAAGGGACAGGTATGCAAAGCCAAGAAGGCATGAAAGTTGCCTGGAAATGCAGAACCTCTGGAACTTCAAACTCAAGAAAGCAGCTGCCTAGCAGCAACAGGGATGATTGCAAAGGCCCCAGAAACATGAATGGAGGGGACCCACCCTAAGAATAGCACCAGAGCAGGCAGAGCATGACACATGACTGGAAGTAGAGTCCCTAGGAGGTGACTAAGCTAATGGGGGGTTACCTCCCTTTCTTAACTTCATTCATAGTCTGTTTCTCTCTCTCTCTTTCTCTCTCTCTCTCTCTCTCTCTCTCTCTCTCTCTCTCTCTCTCTCTCTCTCTCTCCTAGAGGAAGTGGGGCGGGAGGCAAGATTCTATAAGAATTCACAGCTACCCCAGGAGAAACTGCAGGTACTGGGTGACATCAGGGGACAATTAGCCAAAATACTGCCTGTCATTACAACAGCCACTGTGCTGGACAGCAGAACACCCAAAGTCATATGCCTCTGTTCTCACAGTGGCCCCAGAGGCACTCTGGGGCAGCAATCATCAAATGATGGACTGCAGGCTCACACTTCTGTACCAAGCAAACTGGCAACAAACTCACTGATCACTTCAAACCACAGCCAACTGGGGAAAGACTGCAAGACTTCTGACTAAATGATGGAAGTTCTCTGAGAAAGCAAACAGGGATGAGCACAAAGGGTAATAGGTGCTTATAAAGCGTCATTAATTATGAGAGCCAAAAGGAATCATGGAGTTCACACCAATTTCAGCTGCAAAACCCTTTATTCAAACAAAATCTTTCATGAAAGTCAGATATATAAAACAAATAAAAGTGGGTTTGGATCAAGGGGGGCAGAACTTACCTACTCTACCACCCCCTCACTCCCTACAGAAGCCCCTAAGACACGGCCCCATGGGCCACCCAGGGCCCAGTAGAAGGTTTTTTGTCTTAATCATAAAAGTAACACATGCCTATGATTTTGAAAATCCAAGCATACCAAAAGGCTTATAATAAAAGGCAAGGGTCCCCTGCCTACTCTATCCTACGCCTTCCTACCTTCAGTCATTTTTGCCCTAGAAGAAATGACTTTTCACTCCTTGGGCTGTACCTGATTTAAATTCTTCTGATAGTTTCTATACGTTGCTAAATGGTGAGGCCTGTAGTTCCATTTCTTAATTTAACTTTAGAAACCTTGTCCTGTTTTCTGCAGTGACAGAGAACTTAGCTCACCCTGCCACCCTCACCTCCTGATATAGTGACAGCACTATTTGAATTTTATCAAATACATTCAATTTGTTTAAAATTCCAACCAGGAAGAAGGGCTTATAGTGAAAAACAGAAGGTCTTCCCTGTCGCTTCCTTCTCCCTCAGTCTCCCCATGTTCCTCCCCACTGAGGTAGGCTGGCTCAGGGGAGTAGAGAACTTCTCTATTAAGCTTCCCTTCTTTTTCTTTTTCTATAGCATTCACCGCCTTTTCTTGCAAAAAAAAAAAATCACTTACTTATTATGCCTTCTGCTTATCTTGCCTGCTAAATTGTAAACTTGGGCAGGGATCTTTGTTCTGTTCTCTGGTATTGCAAATGCCTGGAAAGATTTCTGGCTCAATAAATATTTGTTGAATTAATTAAAGCAAACTTCTCTGGAAAAGGGGAAAAAATAAGCAGGTTTCTTTGAGATTGTGTTAGAACCAGTCATTGTACATCTGATCGGTTCTATAAGAAGGAATGAATACAAATGAAAATTTTACTTTGTGGATACAAAATTCTTCTGGACAATGGGGGAGGTGCTATAATAGATAAAGACCTCAGTTCAGACCCACTTACTGACTTTGCATGTTTAGCAAGTTGGTCCAATTGCCTTGGAAAGAAAGTAGCTATTTGCTTAGGTTGGTAGACGCTGGGAAGGAAATGAATGTTGAGGAGGTGGCCTGTGTCAACCCCGATCTCCCAAGGACAGCCCCTACAGTGAAAGGAGAGGCAGCAGGGTGCTTCCTCCAGGGGTAACAGCCACCATGGACCCCAGAGCCAGAGGCCATTAGCCAAGGGCTGGGCACTGGGCACTGGCGGGAAGCAGAAAATGCCATCCTGAGCCCACCCACCCCAGCACTATGAACCCTACCATCCAGATGCATCTCAAAGTCCCTCAGTCCCAGGATGCTTTTCTTGGACCACCCCACTCCCGACACAGGGCCTTACAGGCACCTGTCTCATGGCTTTTATCTTACTGTGCTTTGCATGGTGAACTCCTATAGAGCTCCTATAGAGCTTTTGGAATTCCTGACCACTGGCCAGGTCACAGGGCAGGTTCCAGTGGTTGGAATGTTTTCATAGCCTTCAGAGTTCTCCCAGCCACTTCACCATTCCCTGCCTCCATGTCAACCATTCCTCCTTCTGTGCCCCCGGATGTTTCCCGGTGTCTACAGCTTCCTTAGCTAAAAAGTATCACCCTCTCTTCACCAAGGCCATGACACCCTGGGCTCCTGTTTTTCCTGGGTCCAGCCCATCTGGCCCCTGCCTGTTGCTCCCAGCCCCTTCTCACCACTTCCCTCCCTCACACCCCCCATGCCAGCCACAGCCATACTGGACTTCTGCTTTTCAGTCCCTCAAGGGTGCTACGCTCTGCATTGCTTCTGAGTCTTACTTCATATATGCTCTGCCTGGGATGTTCTTTCGCTCCTCTTCTTTGGATAAATCTCTTCAGACCAATTTAAAGTTTATTTCCTTGAATAACTACAGTTTTTATTTTTTCCCTACATTTTGTTTGTTCTTGTTATATTTATTAAAATGTTATTCTTGTGGGCCGGCCGAGTGGCGCATTGGTTAAGAACTGGATTGGGACGCCAGAGGGCCCCGGTTCAGATCCCACATATGAGGGCCAGTGACACTGCCCTCCACAGCTAAGATGCTGAACAACAGCTCAACCTGGAGCTGGGCTGCCGTGAGTCACCGGCGATGGCGTAGGCTGCAGCCCCTGTGGCAGTGGGTTGCCATGGGCTACCGTGTGTAGCCAGCAGCCAGCATGAGCGGCCAGCAGCCGCTGTAAGCGGCCGTCCAGAAGCCGGCGACTGATCTGCCTCGCCCGGGAAGAGCACAATGATGGTGCCAACTTGGGCCAGTGAAGCAACGTCCTCCACAACTATACTGAAGAACAAAATGACATTAACTTATCTGTTCCCTTTCCCCCAATTCCCCAGCACTGTTCCCATCCCCCCAATTCCCCAATAAAAATCTTTTTAAAAAAATGTTATTCTTTGTTGAAACTAATAATAGAAATTTGAGACTTGTAAAAATATAAAATAAAATTTACTTCCTTGGGGAAGCCTTCCCAGGCACTCTAGCTATGGTTAGGTGCTGTTATTATGAGCACCCCATACTTGCCCCACAAAACAATCATACTTTTCTAAAATGTATTTTTCTGTCTTCCCTGTTAGACCATAAACCCCTTGAGGGCAAGAAGTTTGTCTCCTCAGCTGCATTCCCAGTGCTCAGAATAGCACCTAGAACACAGTAGGAGCTCAATCAATATTTGTACAGGAAGGTGGGTTGACTTACAGAAAAGGGGATGTCTTCATTCAGTACTCCAACCTTGAGCCTCCATCAAGGAGAGGCATGGTTCCAAGCGTCAAGGACTTTCCAGTCTTATTCGGGAAGCCACTGTGACACCATGACACAGTGAGCAACTGACAGCTGCCCCAGTCATAGAGACAATGAGAGTTATGGGAGAGCTAAGGCGGGAGCGGTCCCAGTGGTCTGGTGACTGGAGTCTTCCCCTGGCCCAAGGGACAAGAGGAGTTTTCTGAAAGATGATGTGTCGGAACTTAGAGGAGGAGGACAGGCAGGGTTGGACAAACAGGCAGCTGGAAGTTAAGGAAGGGGAAGATACATCTGAAACAACAAACCATGCTGGCTGATTTCAACTACTCCATAGAGAAACCAGGCTGGAGTCAGATAATGAAAAGCCATTAAAGTGAGGCAACAGGAGCCTGTGCGAGAGCCAAAACAGAGAGGGCATAAGGAAAGCAATGTACTGGAACGGGTCACCTGGGAGCACCTCAGGGATGGATTAGAAGGGAGGGGCTAAGGCAGGAAGACCAGGAAGGAAGCTATTGTGCTAGACCAGGTGGTGGGGGTGGGAGGCACATGGGTCACTGCCTAGGAATGAGGGCAAAGGGACAGACTCAAGAAACATTTTAAATGGAGTCGCCACAGGCTGCTGCTTCTGACTGAGTACATGAGATGAAGAAGGGAGGGGTAGACAAAGAGGATGCAGGACTGTTGGTCCATCTCTGTGGCTGGGAGACGCCATCGTTAGAAAGCACAAAGGCAGAGTAGGTAACACTATACGTGCCAAATGTAAAGGATAGGAGAAGCTTCCGTGATTTTTTTTTTTTGGACTTAGGGGACAGTGCAAGACTGTCTCTCTATAAAAATAATAGTTGATGCCATAGAATGGGTCACTTGACCTTGAGAGCCCTCTCCCAAGAAAGCTATGAGAAAAAGGACCAACTATTTAGCCTTGGGCAAGATGGTGCAATTGAAGTCTAAGATACCTGGGATCAAGTCTGGCTGTGTCACTTACCAACTGAATGGCCTTGGGCAAGTTCATTAACCTCATGGAGCCTAGGTTTCACATTTGTAAAGTGGGGGTGATAATAATACCTAAGTGCAAGGATTTTTGTAAGCAGTAGATAAAATGACCT